AGCCCCAGACCCTAAGCCCTAAGCCTAAACCCTAACCCTAAACCCTAGACCCCAACCGTCGACCCTAAAGGCCAAACCGTAGATTCACAGAAGGCCGAGCTGCACAGCTACTTGGAGGTTCATGGAACTTAGTAATTAAGTACAGTTATAAGTACCTTGATTGGGGTTAAAAGTAATTATAAGTATAGGTTACTTATAACCCTAGTTACTAAGTCGCATGAACCTTTAAGTAGCAGGAGCACGAGCCACAGCCCTGGCCGAGAGCGCCGTAGCAGCGATCACCGACGCCAGGGTCGCCAGCGGTTCGCCCGCGGGCCTGGCTAGAGTCTCCATGGTAGTTCCTTGATTTTTGGTTTCACCAGGGATCCTATAAGGTAAACCCCCCAAAAAGGAACTACAATGGAGACTTTCCTTGTCATGGTTTCACCTAGGATCCTATAAGGTAAACCCCCAAAAAGGAACTGCAATGGAGACTAGAGCACATGCCTAAATACCCCTGCGAGGCTCGGAGCCGACACAGGACACCTGGAAAGTAGGGTTTAGGGTTTAGGGTTTAGGGTTTAGAACCGGCACCCGCGAAGCCGCGAAGGAGGGCAGGCAAGCGGCAAGCCGACACATGCGGCGACGGGGAATGGCAGCAGCCATTGAAGGCCAGCTGTCAGGAACAGCAACGTACTGATCCAGATGATGATGGTTTCGCAGAGAGTTCTGCGAGTTGCGGAATGATCATCTATAGGCTTGAGTCAGTTGCTACAAGTCGTAGAGAGCCGCAGAGGTTTCAAAACCATAATGCGGCTCCCGCCGCTTTATCATTGAAGAGACTTACACCGACTGAGGCACCGACCATCCTGGACAACGGCTTCCAAAACACCTTGCTGGCTCCGACCTTGGTGTGTGCCCGGTTTCGGGCTGGAGGTTTAGGGTGGAACTATTGAAGGGACTTGAATATTCCTGACCAAGGCCAAACGTACTCATAATGGGGTTTTTCGATACAGTGACTATACACAGTTTAAACCGAAACTGTATTCGCATCACTGAGGCTTGTGTATTTCCTATCAGGTCTGAGCCCACACGAAGTGCTGTGCGGATCTTGAACCTCATGTTAAAGGTTTGGAGTGTTCACTTCGGTATACGTGTCATTAAGTTGCACACCTTCCATCCACTCCCATCCCAGCAACCGCAGTTGCCAGGCGCATAACACAGGGGCCGAAACGAGTACACTCGAGTTTTGAGAGCTTTCTATCACAAGTATATTCGGCAGCCCTCTTTCATGCATTGCAGCACGACTTGCTGTTTGGGCCCCTCTACTAACCCTTCCGCCCCAAGATTCTATGTGGCTGTTTTCATGCTTTTGGACAGGGACGACGTCTATTGGCGGAGGGTCGCGGGGGTTGGTAAGTCAAGTTGGAAACAAGCAGACTTATAAGTACCCGAAAAGGGGTCCCAATTATTGGCCTAGTTGGGATTACGATGGTTGTAAGTCTGAAAAATTGAAAAACAAGCAAGATCTTCTCACTCAGTCCCCCGACCCCCTCGACGTGAAGCCCTGAGAAGACTCGTGGTCTGAAGTTCGGGTTATACCCCAAGGGTCCAAAGGACCCAATAAGCAGGTACTTTGGTTTCGGATAGTAGTTATGTAGGTTACTATTCGGGAGAGTATATGATGATTATGTACCTGGACCCTTAGGGTATATCTTTGACCCTAGAACTTATCGCTGGACAAAACGATGCTGTACTTCGAACCCACTTGTAGCCTAGGTTACTAACATGGGGGGAGTTTTGTTAGGGGTAGAACCACAAAAAGGAGTAATTAGCCCGAATTTCCAAGGAATGCTCCCAGTCTGCATCCTTACACCCGAAACCCCAAACCCAAAACCCTAAACCCTAAACCCTAAGCCCTAAGCCCTAAGCCCTAAACCCGAAACCCGAAACCCGAAGCCCTAAACCCTAAACCCGAATCCCTTATCCCTAAAACCCTAAACCTGGAGGATGAAGGCCGGGTGCCGGACGGCTACCTCCGGGGCGATGCGTGCAACTGCGAGCCTCAGGCGCAACACGGGCTGATGATTTAGGATTCAGGATGTAGCCTATAAGGCTATAAGGGTTCTTTAAGGCTTTAAGGGTTCCTTTCAGGGTCCTTTAAGGGTTCTTTCTTTTAGGGTTTCGGACTATTTAGGAGTTTAAGATGCAGGGTTCACTACCTACTATTTCTGTCTACAGGTGGACTGACGTGACTTCCTGTTTTTGTTGGATGTTATGCGAGTTTTGTAGTTCTTGGAAGGTAGTGATGATGTATGAATTCTGCGATGCTCTTATCGTCGTTTCGGGTTCAGGGAGAAGGCTGAATCGGAGGGTCTGCCTGCCCGTCTATTGCAACTATGTAATCATCTTTTCCAGCCGTCTAGAAGGCTCTATGGAAGCGCGTGAAGATGCATGTTTCCGCTGATGGTGTGAAGTCGTCGGCTCATTCCTCTCAGTATGAGACACCTGCTACCTTAAAACGTACTTGCAGGATCGGGGCACTCGGACATAACCCATATAACAATATGGTCCAAACCCTGAGCCCTTAAAGCCGGAAGCCTAGACTTTCGAGAATCACCTACGAAGAAGCTTGGTCCTTCAAGACAAGTGTGAGCAGGTGAGACCCTACATCGGCGACGACGAGGGTCGTTCAGGCCTCTGTGCAGAGGCCCGGTGCGCGTAATTGCATCAGGAGCCTGAACAAGCAGAAGATGTTTTTTGGATATAGGGTTTAAGGTTCAGTCTGGGGTGTGTATGGAGAATACAGAGCCTAAGGAAGGCGGATTTGCGGTTTGAGGCGCAGTATTCCTGGGCATTGCGCACAGGAAGTTTCTATGCACGTGGCATGATGCTGTCGCTAGCTCTACTTGCAGCTTCATCTTACAATCAGATTATGACCTTACGGGTCCAAGTACCTAAGCATCAATAATATACTCCAGTAGCCTAGAAAACTACCTTCGTAAACCCGAGTACCTACCAAAGAATCAGGCCCTTCGGACCAGCAGAGAAGGTAACGGGAACTTCAAGGGTTTAGGGTTTAGGGTTTAGGGTTTAGTGTTTAGGGTTCGGGGAGGAGTGTGAGAGTCCGGGACGTCTACCTGACTGCTTCGTTTGTAAAGCTGAAACACCAAAATCCGCACGTCGACTACCCCAGAAATCTTCCGAAGCATACCTTAAGAACCCAAAACCCACTTTTTGGTAGGTTCTTGTTATAAACCCAAATATGGGATTTATAGGGACCCTACAAAAAAGTAGGTTTTGGGTTCTTAAGGTAGGTTTTGGGCTCTTAAGGTAGTGTTAGAGTGTCAGGGTTTGGAGTTTAGGGTCTCCGGCTTAGGGCCATTAATTGGGTTGAGGGTCTAGGACTGTCTAGTCCACCCGAATCCAGGAACCTCGCTTCTTGCTGGTACTGGTAGGGTTTAGGGTTTGTTCCTCTAATCTTCCTAATCCGTGCCATCATCCTGTTGCTTACGCGACTAAATCCTGTAGCCCAAAGCCAATAAACTCAATCAACCTCGCCCTGAACCTCAAACTCTAAAGCCCTAAACCCTAAACCCTAAACCCTAAACCCTAAACCCCTAAACCCTAAACCCCTAAACCCTAAACCCTAAACCCTAAACCCCTAAACCCTAAACCCTAAAGTTGCTGTCAGCCCCGTCTGGGCGGTGGCACCTATGCAGACCTTTTTGGCTGCGCGGAGCTCTGCCGCTGCGGTCGCATTCTACCAGCACCCTCAGCCCTAAGCCCTCAACTCACTAAGCCCTATAAGCCTCTGTTTAGGTTTTAGGAGTTTGGTTTTAGGGTCCTAAGGGCTCTAGGGTGGTTTAGGGCTTAAGTTCCCCAGAAACCGCGTACCTGACGTTAGCATGATATATTTATCCATGCAAATTAGCAAACTGCAAATTACAGCTGACACTTGGTTGGGATTCAAAATCCTTCCTCCCCCTGTGGTTATAGGGTCCGCAGATAGATGTTCTGTGATCTGGTGCGAGCGCAGGGAATGCTTGGGCACCCGGGCACCCTCTGCTGATTACACAAGGTTTAGAGCTTCGGGCAGTTGAGCGCGATTTCCCAGACCATGATCTGCGATGTGCTCCAAGCTCGTAGAATTGAATAGTAACCTTATGGTAACCCCTCTAATAACTCTTATAGTAGAAGCCCAAAACTTGGAAACCCAATAGCCTCCATCCTTAAGAGTCATGTATATTGAATCCCAGCACTATTTTTCCTTAATCCGGTTTCCAACTTTTGGGGGTTTACTATATAGTGCCTTATCGTAGCCCTATAGTAACCGCTGTTGCAGTAACGGCGAGCAGATTCCGATTCCATCTAGACTTTGGCCCAACTTGGAGACTCCTGCAAGCGTGGCTTTGTCTTGAAAACCTAAAGCCCTAAGCCCCGAACACCCTAAACCCTAAACCCTAAACCCTAAACCCTAAACCCTAAACCCTAAACCCTAAACCCTAAACCCAAGCTCATTCCGTGGCTGTGTCATTTCTGTTATGCTCTCGGCTTTTCGGCCTGAGCTTTCCGTGTCGCGGCGGCTCTACGTCTAGTCTCCATTGAAGTTGGCTTTTTGGTTACGTCCTTTTTGTTTTTTTTTCAAGACCCTATATACCTATAGCCATATTGGTGTTCAGACGGATTAAAGGACCTCGGAACCAGAGCGCAGACTACAACGCCTCGAAGCGAGCGCAAAGTCGGCGTAAACCCTAAACCCTAAACCCTAAACCCCTAAACCCTAAACCCCTAAACCCTAAACCCTAAACTCCCCTAAACCCCTAAACCCTAAACCCACAAGCCCTAAACCCTGAACCCTAGAAGTTGCGGGTCTCGGCTTGGCTTTTCTAAGTCTGAGCATCAGCCCTGTGCTACGAACAAAGCTAAACCCTGATCCCTAAGAATCCTAGGCCCTAAATCCTATATGGGTAGTTCTCTAAATTAGGGTCCCTTTTTAGGTCCCCAATATGGTACGGCACCCTTATAGGACCCCCAAGAGGGACCCTAATTTAGAAAACTACCCCTATCCTACACCCAGCCATGCTTCCTGAGTGAGTTTCGGGCTTCGGATTCAGATTCTTCGGGGTGTAGATGGCAGAAGAGGCATTGAGCTGGAAATATCAACCGCAGGCTAACCTCGTTCTCTAGGCCCGAATAGAATACCCCCGAAACCTGCTCCGAAATATTAAGGTGCTCTAAATCATAGAACCTTATAGTAGCAACCCGTTAACTTTAAAGGAGCCGGTACAGTAACCCTTCACTGTGGTTTCGGATACGTTGATCTGAGGTCAAGTGACTGCTCGCTGCGAGTTCTTGACGTACTGGGAATCGACCGGCGAATGCCGCATCTACCGGGACCGAATTTCCAAAACTACAAAGCCCACCGAACTTTAAACCCTAAACCCGGAACCCTTCAGGGGCTCACATGAGACCAATGATTCCACTACTGTCTTGTGGTCCATGGGGTCCCTTGGTTTCAACTAATAGGGGTGGAAACAGACTGTTCTTCCTACACAAGGACTTGCAGATGATTCGAAAATGCAGTTCCGTTTCGGGGGCAGCCGTATGCTGCGACACCATGCGACATATCCTGCGAATTAGTACCAAGTCACGTCCTGTCGCATGCCACACCCATCTAGAGAATGGCCCACGCCTTTCAATTCAATCTCTCAACCCAAAACCCGAAACCCTAAACCCAGCCCTGGGGGACGACGACCGGCTGGAACCAAAGGTCCCGATTTCCATGGGTGTTCTGTAGAATTCAGGTGTGTTATTGCTGGTATCGTATATACCCAGATGCTCTTAAGTTTGCCACTTACTACTAGTAGCTGTTCACGTCGGAGCGGCAGGGTTCCGCCCGTAGGCGCAACCCTCATCCCAAAGTTCGAGGGTTTGGGAGGGTTTGGATTTCCGTGCATGATCATGATATTGAGATGGATGCCACATTCCTGCCTTGCTTATTGCTGCTTCTGGTATTGGTCTCCTTCATCCTTGATTATTCTTATGTGCTTTTTCTGCCTGCTTTCAAGGCATTGCGATGTTGAGGCTGCGACTTCGGTTTTAGGGCGCTTGGCAGGGCAATGATAATGTAGGAACCTGATTCAGAATCCCTGGCCCTAGAACCCCAACCCTAAACCCTAAACCCTAAACTATTTGGATCCATCTACAGAGCCCTTGTGAAGACGGGTTTCATAATCAGGTTCCCACCTGAACCCACCAACACGCACTTACTTTGTAGGTTCATGTTACAACACCCTAAGGTGGGCTTTTAGAAGGACCCTACAAAAAAAGCAGGTTCTGGTAGGTTAAGTTATAATTATGCTTTTAACCCCAAACCCTAAACCCTTATAGTACCCTGATAGATACCTTTAAAGGAACCCTAAGCCCTTATAGTACCCTGATAGATCCCCTTTAAAGGAACCCTAAGCCCTTATAGTACCCTGATAGATACCTCTAAAGGAACCCTAAACCCTTATAGTACCCTGATAGATACCTTTAAAGGAACCCTTACAGTCCCCTTTAAAGGGGTTAGGCGTTCTTCTGCGGAGGACTGCAACTGGGTCCTCTGCCAGAACGACTTCTGTGCCCCGGCTCTTAGAAGCCCAGAGCGCGAAGCCTTGAGTTCTCAGGTGTTTAGGGTTTCGGGTTTAGGGTTTTTGGATTCAGGGTTCAGGGTTTAGGGTTTGTGGATTCTAGGTTTTCGGGTTTAGGGTTTTTGGATTCAGGGTGTAGGGTTTAGGGTTTTGGGATTCAGGGTTCAGGGTTTAGGGTTTCGGGTTTAAGGTTTAGGGTTTAGGGTTTTAGGTCCAGGCGGTTTGGGGTTCAGGGTTTCGGGTTTAGGTTTTTGGGTCTCGGGTTTAGGGTTTAGGGTTTTTGGATTCAGGGTTCAGGGTTCAGGGTTTGGGGTTTAGGGTTTCGGGTTTGGGGTTTCGGGTTTAGGGTTTCTGGTTTGGGGTTCCGGATTTTTGGGTTTCGGGTTTAGGGTTCAGGGTTTAGGGTTTCGGGTTTAGGGTTTAGGGTGCAAGGTTTAGGGTTCAGATTTCGGGTTTGGGGTTTCGGGTTTAGGGTGTAGGGTGTCGGGTTTAGAGTTCAGGCGGTTTAGGGTTCAGGGTTTAGGCTTCAGGTTTTGGGTCCAGGCGGTTTGGGGTTCAGGCTTTGGGGTTAAGGTTTTTGGGTTCAGGGTTTAGGTTTTCGGGTTTAGGGTTTGGGGTTTCAGGTTTCGGGTCAAGGGACAAGGGTTTAGGGTCCCTAAACCCGAAGCCTCCCAGGCTTCGGCAACAGAACTCTTGAACCAAAACCTGCACCCTGGACTCAGACCTTGAAGCATGCAGTCGAAACAGCAGGCCAAATCGAAATGTACAGGCTTTAGGGTCTTCGCTTTAGGCTTTAGGGTTTTAGGGTTTAGGCTTTAGGGCTTTGGGTTTAGGGTTCATGGCCTTATCTCCTAAACCCTAAACCCTGCACAGAGGCGTCGGTGCTTGCAAGTTGTTGGAATCTAGAGAATAGGCTCAGCTTCAGGACCTGGTCTTTCTAAACGCATAGGCCTTGCAACCTAAAAAGTCACAGCCTTCCAGACACGTTGCCTTCCGTCAACCAGAGTTAGAAATTCCGATTCAGGGTGTAGGGGCAGGAATTAAGAATTAGAGTTCACGCACGAGGGCTTGGAATCTTTCTCGTCTCAAGGTTATGTGGAGATTTTGGCCCCTAAGCCCTAAACCCTAAACCCTAAACCGCCCGAAACCCTAAACCCTAAACCGCCCGAAACCCTAAACCCTAAACCGCCCGAAACCCTAAACCCTAAACCCTAAACCGCCCTCAACCCTAAACCCTAAACCGCCCGAAACCCTAAACCCTAAACCGCCCGAAACCCTAAACCCTAAACCCTAAACCCTAAACCCTAAACCCTAAACTCGCGCTTCGTGTTGCAGTTCGAGGCTTCGAGTCCAACACCTACCGCAACGCACCGCTGGGGGACTACCTGACACTCCGCGGCTATGTGCAGGAGCGATTCAAAGAGTCGCTTTGGGCTTAGGTTTGAGGGTCTAGGGCAAAAGGTTCAGGGTTTAAAAAGGGTTTGTTTAGGCTTTAATGAGTTTTTGTTTTCGTGTTTTGGGGATGTTTAGGGTTTAATCGGGGTTTCGGGTTTTGGGCTAGCCTTGCTTGAGGTTTGATCTCAACCGGCTTCCCAGGGTTGAGTTGAAAAGATCTTCAACTTTCGATCAACTCCATCAGCCCCTAGCTTGTCAAAGGGCATCAAAATTAACAGATTGTTAGAGAGTTCCAAATCAGGTCAACCCTAAACCCTAAATACTAAATTCTTGAAGCCCTAAACCACTGCCCTGTCTAAATTCAGTTCGCCTACTATCCTGAACCGTCGATCCTTGCAACTCGTAACCAGACCCTGCAGCGCTCGCAGTACTTCTCCGTCTTCCCGCGGCGGTCTCTGCAAACCAACTTTGACGACTGCAAGTCCTGCCTTCATCTCTATGACGAAGTCCATTGTATCTTGGCTTCAAGGGCTTTTGGAGTTTCAGGTCTTTTGATCGTGACCTGCAGTGCCAGTGCGGGCTTCGAGACGGTGCAACATCCTCGGGTTGGGAATCGCTTAAGGGCTTGGAAGTCGGTAATATGCGGAGGTTCCAAATTGCTTCATGAGGTTGTCAAGGGTTTTGTTCAGGGGTTTAGCTTCATTGTCAAGTATGAAGAGTGTGCCATAATTCCCCAAGTTCAGAATAGCAATGCAGCATTCTGCCCAGAGGAGTAGGTTTCGGTGTTCTGTGTGGTGGCATGGTGAATTCTCAGACCCACAGCTGTAAATAGTATAAGCGAACTACTGGGTGTGGGTGGGAAGTGCCTTTAGCAGACCGCATGGCTCACGTGTCGTACGAGTATGTTCGACCCTAAAGGTACTTCATTGGCTCCTCGGCTCCTCTAGTGCATATCTTCAAGAGTTGTAAGGTGCCAGTTTTTCCCCGAATACAAGCCGCATGGAATTGAGAACACCTTGTACAAACACCCCCACCGCACCTTGATGCAGCAACTCTCCAATCTAGTGAAAAAAACCTTCTACAGCCAGATAGGAACTGAAATTGAGTTGCAGAATACTACTGGGTCAAACCTTAGATTGCTTGAAATGAAAAACAACACCTTGGACAGATGTGCCCATGAACCTTCTATGATGAGGCTTCCACCAGTGTGGAAGTCCTGCATGCTGGCCGGCAATGTGACAGGGTTCCCGTTCTCTTAGATTGATGTAGTATAGCGGCATAAATAATTACAAATATTATTCCTTAGGGTTCCTTATTATATCTTTACGATAAAGGAGCCCACAACCCTTTTCTAATTTTTAAGGCCCCTGCATTGCCACTTTTTGGAGACCGACGGCTCTGAGGACTCAGCTAAGTGAGGCTACGGCTGGGGTTGTACTATTGATGGACGAAGTTCTGCATGACCCAAGTATAGTATAGTACCATAATTCCCATAGTTTCGGTATATGAGGTCATGCAGGATTTTATCCATCAGCTGTATGTTCTCCTATTTCTAATCCAATTTATCACGGCCGTGCTACGCTACGTATCTCTGAGTTCCCGAAGGCATTGAGCTTGAAATCCCAAACAGCAAGCCATACAGTCAGCGAAACCCTAAATCCTGAACCCTAAACCCTAATCCCTAAGCCCTAATCCCTGAACCCCAAACCCTAATCCCTAAGCCCTAACCCCTGAACCCCAAGCCCTAATCCCTAAGCCCGAAACCAGTCAACCCTAATCCTGAAACCCTCAACCCGAGCTTCACTTGTAGCTTCCACGCTCGACCCTACAGCGCCAATCCCTGAGCTGAAAGCTTGCACGTGGCCACGGTTTAGGGTTTAGGGTTTAGGGTTGAGCATTTGTAGGTGTTTTCTATGAGGGATTGAGGATTTCGAACGAAGCCCGAATTCCGGCTTTTCCACCATGTGGGATGTGAGGGTATTATGTTTCGGTGCTTTACGTGTTCTAAAAGGTTTTTTTCCTGATTTTCTGAGGGTTGTATTACATAGGGGCTTACACAGGGGGATCCTGAAAGGGTTTCGGGTTTTTGGGTGGCCAGCGCCAGACCCCCTAAACCCTGAACCCACCCTGAACCCTGAACCCTGAACCCTAAACACTAAACCCTGAACCCTAAACCCCGAACCCTGAACACTACACCCTAAACCCTGAACCCTGAACCCTGAACCCTAAACCCTGAACCCACCCTGAACCCTGAACCCTGAACACTACACCCTAAACCCTAAACCCTAAACCCTATACCCTGAACCCTAAACCCTAAACCCAGAACCCTGAACATTAAACTCTAAACCCTAAACCCTAAACCCTGAACCCTAAACCCTTAACCCTGAACCCTGAACACTAAACCCTAAACCCTAAACCCTAAACCCTAAACGTAGAAAGCTGAGGAGTTGGTGCCGTACCTGCACTGGCCTGCCGGTCAAGCATGTGCAACATGCGACTGGGATGGTTTAGGGTTTAGGGTTTAGGGTTTAGGATCTAGGGTTTAGGGTATCGTTCTTTAAAGGGTACCGTAAGGGTTCTATTAGAGTACCATAAGGGGTTTAAGGTTCAGGGATGGGGATTCTGGCATCCTTTAAAGGGCTCCTTTAATGTGTCCCTTTAAAGGGGTACCATAAGGGTTCTATTCAAGTACCATAATAAGGGTTTTAGGGTTTAGGGTATAAGGGTCCCTGTACCCAACTATAGCATATACATTGCCCTTGACGTCGTCCCTATTTGGGTACTTTGGGCCCAAAGGATACACTATTTGGGCACATTGACATGGAGTCTTAGGGGGAGTTCGGATGCAAGGCTTCAGGGTTGCTGGTTATGGTTTGTGTCGAGGTTGGGGTTTAGGGTTTAAGGTTTAGGGTTTAGTTCACGGTTTCAGTCTTTGCGATGGAGGGGTTTGGGGTTGCTGGGTTTGGGGGTTTGGGTTTGAGCTGCCTCGTTCTCCAATACCCAACCTTTAAACTTTTTGGGTTCTTATAATTTAGTGGCAATCTGAAAGTTTGACCTTATATTTCCCTGGCTTATTGGGAAAGTAAGGCTGCTAGCATTGCTCCGGGTGCAGCAGCAGTAGTAACTCACACGTACGGACGACGCTATGCCATGCCTGGGTTGAGCTGCGTGGAGATACTTGCGTAAGGAGTCTTTAAATCTCGATATCGTAGGATGCCACGCAGCTTCTCAAGTCCAGATGCAAGCCAGCCGAAAGCACCGCACATGCTAGTTCTTCTGGGTTGGGGTCTTTAAGCACACCATGCGTCATAATTTTTGATGATTACAAACCCGACCTTTCGACCAAGGCATCTTTGCGGGGAACAGGATGCATGAGATGAACCTGCAGCAGCGTGAGCTGGTTCCTGGCATTTACACTGACGATACTGCGGGATTAAGTTAACGACATAATCAACACCCTATCACAGTATATAATTAGAATGTTCAGTGGGAATAGCGAAAAGGACCACGGCAGTAGGTGGCATGGTAACAGTAGACGGACATGTAAATCGCTCGAAACATGGACATGCCGATATATGATATATAGATGTAGGTAAGGACATTGGCATAGACATAGATATAGAGATAGAGATAGAGATAGAGATAGAGAATATTTAGATACACGACTTACAAAGCTGACTCAGAAGCTCAAACTCTCGACATAACCCCTCCAAACCCAAACCCCTGAACCCTAAACCCTACCCTGATCCCTCAACTCTGAACCGGAAACCCTAAACCCCTAAACCCAAACCCCTGGCCCGCTAGAGCTGCCAAATGTCAACGCCCCCGGCTTTTAGGACCCTAAAAGGATGCAGTTTTTGTTTGGAATCTTTCAGGTTGCCGTTTCATCAAGAAGTAATGTAGAAAGGGTTTAGGGTTGAGGGATATAGTAGACCTCTATTTGATGAATAACTCCGTCTATGTTAAAAGGATTTAAAGAGAGTTTATATTGACCAGGGATCACGCTGCATGCTACCATGGATAGAAGTACACATCCTCCCGAAGGGTCCAAGTATGCAAGGAGTGGGGTTTCGGGTAGCAAAAGCATTCAGAGTATGGTGTTTGTGATTTAAGACCCTGCACGCTAATCCCTGAAATGTAAATTCTAATCTCTGAACTTTGCTAATTGGGGACTTGGATGCTTTTGGGTCAGACACGCGTCTGTTGATGCCCTCCAGTTGCTGCGGAGCCAAGGTAAAGGATTGCGTCTACCAGGCCATCCGCAGCAGCCAGGCGGGCGCTTCTCTGTTAACCTGGCTCAGGAAGCAGTTAATTAGTTGCTGCTTCGGTTGACCAGTTTTGGGTTAGGATCTTGTAATAAAAACCGAGGAAGCCAAAGCACGAATGAACTGCAATGCAACTATAGGTAGGTTACACGTAGGGCTAGGGTTGTACGTAGGCTGGGAATTTCGAGGGTGTGGGAGTCCGGCTTTAAAAACCTGACTCTTGTTGCAATCGACCTCGCCGTCTTGTCTTCTGCGGCTTCATATGTTTGACGATCTTCAGACTGTTGCATTGTTTTGGGTGTAGCTCCATTAGAGTGTTTGGATTTGTGTAGTTATTTGAGGCCTACAGGGTTTGCCTCTTAGGTTGGGTTCTTTCGGTTCTTTTGGATTTCTGGGTCCGTTCGGAGTGGGCTAAACGTTCCACTCCAGGTAGCGTGATGTTCGGATGAAGCGCTACATGTGTGCCATTGCCAGACTGTCAGCAATACAAGCGAACACAAAAACTCCAAACACTAAACCCTAAAACCCTAACCCCTAGACCCTAACCCTAAACCCCAAAAACCAAAAACCCTAAACCCCAAAACCTAAAACCCTACGTAAACCCTAAACCCTAAACCCTGAGCCACTGTAATCCTGCCCGGGGATCCTAGCACTTAGCCAACACCGGTGGGGAGCCAAAGCCCCAGCCTGCAATCTCGAAAAAGGGTTTAGGGTTTAGGGTTTAGGGTTTGGGGTTTAGGGTTTAGGGTTTAGGGTTTAGGGAGGACCTCCCATGTAACATTAATGTAGGGGCCTTAATAATTAGAATAGTGTTTTGGGGCTCCTTTGGAGGGTTCCTTAAAGGGTTCTATAAGGGCTACTGTCAGGGTTTAGGGTTAATGTAGGGATTTTAATAATTAGAATAGGGTTTTGGGGTTCCTTATTACAATTCTAGTATAATATACCCCCCCCAAACCCTGTTCTAGTTATTAAGGCCCCAATATTATGACTAAACGCTAAACAGGTCCAGCTGCAGATGTAGGATTTTGAAGGCCATAGTTGGAGACCTGGAGTGCGTTACTCGCTGCACCCTTACATTTGCTTCTTGCCCGTCACCGAACACAGGTACATAATATGTAATGCAACACAATTGAATGCACGCTGCATATGTGTGTATGTATGTATATGTATATACACACACACACACCATATTCACTGCATATTCTCATATGCAAGATTTCATACTTGGCATAGAACATTTGGCGCAAGACATGTGATGTACAGGACTGACAGGATTCTAGGATTCTAGAGGCCAAAGCATCCATCTCAGGGGTCTGGGTTTTTTCGCAGTGCAGCACGAACGGTCTTGGTTCTACCGTCACCGGAGCTCTACTTCCCAGGAATGGCACGAGCAACATTGGGCATTGCAAAAAGAGGCTTCTGCCTCATACCTACGAAATACTGTAAGTCCAGTTGCTTGTCCGGGACGGTTTCTTAGCAGGCTTTAACGAAAACATGTGCTTGGATGGTATACATACCTACAGTGTCAAGTGTAATATGCCCAACACTCTTTTCCCACTATTACGGTCGCCCCTAGATTTCCTGATCTCGTACAAGCGCCTGCTACAGCGTCTCGCAGGACCCGTGGGTGGCATGTGACGAGGCCATGGAGCTGTCCTTACTCGTTCTTGGATTCGCTTCAGAGAGTTTGTTTGGAGCAAAGCCTGCGGCGACGTGCGGGTGAGGGTTGTTGGGTTAAGGGTTCATTTGTCCGGGCTTGGGGAACTCCCAGTTTCCCGAAATACAAGACCCTGAACTTTGGACGTTGTGAAGCAGAGGTGGCTTTCGAGCAGTCCGGATCCGTGGCTATCGACCTCTTCAATGGGGCTTCCTGCCTGCAAGTGAGGTTATGCTTTTTCGGGGTTGGTCCTCCGTGAACATGGACTTCAATTGATCACAAAGCAGGCTCCTAACAGTATTAGCAAGAGCAAACTTTGGAAGCAGCAGCATCAGAATCAGTGTCAGTAGCCATAGTCGTAGGAGTAGCAGCAGTAGTAGTCATCGTCGTGACAGTAGTATAGTGATAGTAGTCGTAGTACTCGCTGCAGTCGTGGTCGTCGTCATCGTCGCAGTCGTCGTCGTAGTAGAAGCAGTAGTAAACCTTCATTAACTGCCAAGGTGTCTACACACTTCCTGAGCGAGTGCCCAGGCCGTGCCATGCAGAGACCCTAAGCCCTAAACCCTAAACCCTAAACCCTAAACCCTAAACCCTAAACCCTAAACCTTAACCGTTTCATCCTCTGACCCCCAATCCTCGACCACTAAACCCTGAACCCCTAACCGTAACCTCAAGAACTTCTTAAGCTTGAACGCCTCAACCTCAAAGTTTTAACGAGTGGGACCGAAACTGGGGTTGGATGGCAGGGCGCAGATTTTGATATGGGCAGGGCTCTAAACCGGAGCGACATGAGGGAACTCTATTTCCTCCATGAGTCTAGGCTTCGTTTCAGGTCCGGGTTTAGGGTTTAGGGTTTAAGATTTAGGGTTTAGGGTTTTGGGCTTAGGGTCTATAAGACGTGAAAAGTCACCGCGGGGCTTAGGACTCTAGAGGTTTAGGGTTCTTGTTCATTCTCTTATCCTATTCCCAATTGAGGCGAGGCAAGCACGGGCTATAGTCACCGACCTCTGCCCTAAACCCTAACCAAAGCCTGGAAAGCAGACAGAGGCCACAAAGAATCTGCGTTTCATCACTGCCCGTTCCTGGGGCATCGCACGATTTGCGATTTAGGATTCAGTGCAATGGCGGTTTCTTGGGAGATGAAAGACATTTCGCTCGAGAGTGGAAGCGTCTTTATTAGGATGTGTTCGCCCACTTCACATGTGAGACGCGCGTGGATTGCTAGATCCCGACACTTTTGCGTTTAGCATACTGTGACTATGATATGCTATATTTATTAACCATAATATACGGCAAAATTTCATGATAAACGAAAATGTACGAATATGTCATCGTAACTAAAATAGGGCACCAAGGATGCCGTAGAGACTCCCCTCGCGAACAGGCCGTGGCTTCAAGGATGTGGGAGCTGCAACTGGGCCGCGGTTGCATCAACACACGGGTAGTTCTCTAAATTGGGGTCCCGTTTTAGGGGTCCTGAAAGGGATCTGCAAGGGTTTCAACAGGGTTTCTGGATACTATAAGGGTAGTAGTTCTATAAATCGTTGTCCCCTTTTAGTTTAGGCCCCAAAATAATACGGCACTCTTGCAACATGGACCTTAAAACGGATCCTAATCAGGAGCAGGACTGGGCGTTGAAGTCGTGTTCAGGGCCTTTGCAGCATACCAGATGATGATCGTCGCAACAACTGTGAATCACTCCGGCGATGAACTGTAGCAGTACCAATGCCAGGAAACCTTTAAGCCAACTTACACCGTCTCAGTCGGCTGTCCTTAGTAGAACAACTCGTGCCAACTCCCTTCACCATTCTGATACACGGCACTCGTGAATTGTCTCCTGCTCTTGAACTCAGTCTCTGTGTTTGCCCAGTTTCTTTCTGATGTCGTCCGGTTGTGTTCAAACCCTGAACCCTAAACCCTGAACCCTTAACCCTAAGCCCTAAATCCTAAACCGGTTTCCGGCTCTGTCCGGCAAAATGCTCTGGAGATCTCGTTGCTCGGAAGATCGCCCAGGTCTGCGCGCCGAACCTCTACGCCATGGATGCCTTCCCCCTACAGGTTTTGTCTCGCAGCCTGGTGCAATCCTGTGTCCGTTGGGTTTAGGGTTTAGGGTTGATGAAAAATCGGGTGCCAGTGTCTCTCATTAGTACATAGTTGGCCCAACAAAACTCTGCAATGCAGTGGTTGTCGACTGGGGGCTCAAGTCAAGATGCCCGTCGGCGTATGCTAAGTATACACACATACATGTATGCACATGCATATGCACCTGCATGGACGTATATACAGAGAGAGAGAGAGAGGGAGAGAGAGCTACATGTCTCTATACACGGCGGAGTGCATTTGAGTTCGGTAGCCACTGTGACAGCTGACCATGGCGTTATCTGTAGGGTACAGGTAGTCCTCCCCCCAAACTTAAGGACTCAGTCAGGAGAACTGAAGCCTGAATGCTTTGTAACGTCATGTTTTGGAAGTCACTGATACATCCGTTTTCTACAGTGCTTTCAGCTTCTTCAAGGCTCTAACCGAGTCTTACCGGGCACAAGCCCAAGCTTTCTGAGGCATGGCGGCCATCGACGATACCGTCGCCTGTCCTGTGGGGTATGTGGGGGCTTGAGGTCTTGAGCTTAGAGGGCCGCGGCGGGCTAGCTAAGTCAAAGCCCAGCCCTGGGCGGCTGTAGGGTGCGGGAACCAGGGCGGGAGACGAAGATTGCGCTGTTGCTGGAATGAGTGGAAAGGCTTCTTGGGGAGCCGTACTGTCGATATTCTGCTGCCTCTACCTTGGCCGTATATCCTAGGCTTTAACAGGACTTCCAGGGCATAGCCAGGCTATGCACATGAGGGTAGAAGGATCCAGGCAGCTGAATTCCGAAGGGGATATCAATCCTGCATTACCCATAATAACGAATCTACCTTAATTCCCATACTTAAGGTAATGAAGGATTTATATCATCAACCGTATCTTATTCTTTCGGGTTTATCAGAGTCTCCTTCTTTGTTCAGGAGGGGCTTCGTGACTCTAGAGTGGAGTGCAGTTCGGAGCAAGGTTGATGAAAGGACCTAGGTAGGCCCTTGAGGTGTTTTATAGTTTTCTCTTGGGGTTAGGGTTTAGGGTTTAGGGTTTAGGGTTTAGGGTTTAGGGGATCCTATCTACCAGCCTTTTCCCTTGGAAGGCCTTGAACACGGTCTTCTCTTCGCTTCTTACAGAAGCCGGAGTTCTGTTGGGGGAGCCGATGTTATTGGACAACTAAACATCCTAAACCCTAAACCCTAAACCCTACATCCCTAAACCCTAAACCCTAAACCCTGAGCCCCAAAAGCCGGAAAGACTGTTTGACATCCTGTCTTCGGGCTTGACCTTTGGCTGGATCCTCGAAAAAACCCAAGGCCTGAGCTCCAAATTCCCCGGGTTTAGGGTTTAGGGTTTAGGGTTTTAGGGTTTAGGGTTTAGGGTTTTAGGGTTTAGGGTTTAGGGTTTAGGGTTTAGGGTTTAGGGTTTAGGTGCTTCTAGTAACATGCTTGTAATACAGGGGTGTTAATCATTACCTATAAGATTTTGGAGCTTCGCTATTGTATTTATGGTATAGTATCTTTTCTAATTATTAAGGCCCCTACATACCAAAGGTCTGGGGTGCAGAGCTGCAGTGCGTGAATGCCGTGTGTGCCGCTCGCCGTATCCCATGAACCATTCACCTAGTTAGCCAATAGGAGAACTTTGGACTTTAAACTTGTTGGCTATATATATATATATACATATATATATATATATATGTATCTATATATATATATATGGTCTATCCTAAAAAAATTGATCTTTTTTTTGGGCCTGGTTGTTGAAGAAAAGAGAGTTCAAAACCGAGTCCAAAGCTCCAAGCAACCGCAAAGTCTAGGACATTTTCAAGTGGGTAGCTACCGTTATAGGAGCCTTATAGACGGTCTATATACCTTCTGGAAGCCTTATAGAAGCCTTATATACCCTAAACTCCCCACCTGTAGTTTCCTTTAACACAGAGCCTCAATGGCCTGGGGTCGATAAGGCTGGGCTCAAGATTCGGGGTAGTCCGCCCCGTCTACTCAAAGGTTCACGGGACTTAGTAGCTGGTGTTACAAATAAGGTAACTAGGCATATAAATAAAGTAGCTATGCTTATAACTACTCATAATCCCATTTCTGGTACTTATAACTGTACTTATTATGTCCCATGAATCCCATGAACCTCCAAGTAGAGCCTTTTTTCAACAAGCGTCACACCCTATACCCCAGCCTTACAATCGTAGATGCTGCAAGCCCTGGACCCCAACTCCCGGAATCTAGCCAACTGATTTTTTTTGCGGGCCCAGAGTAGCACCTCAGCATCATCACTTACCGATCTTATTTCTCAGGGTCCCCTAATAGAAGTGTTAGTTATTCTAATCATGGGGGCCCCTACATTGCGGTGCAGCAACGTCCCTGCTTGCAGCCAACCCCGAAGCCGAATTCCCGGAGCGCGACCTAGAGAGTGCGAACAAGCCCTGCTTGATAATTGCACCTTTTCGGGTCATCTTCCTCAAATTCCAAACCCGACCCCTAAACCTTCAAGTCCTGAACCCTAAATCATGTTCTAGGTGCTTTCTTGTGTTCTGCTTTGTTTGTTACATCTGTTAAGGGATCTGGACAGGCAAGCATTCGAACACACATTGACTCGCAGCAGCACCCTCTGTAGGTTTTGGAGTTTCAGGATTTAGTTTAGTTTAGTTAGCTAACCCCGATACCCCAAAGCCCCTGCATTTTGCAAGAAGCACATTCGTGTCGCACTCCTGACTTAGAACAGCACAGTAGCATGCTCCTTACCTGATACCGAAGCTTCACAGTAGCGCAGAAGCCTCCCCCAGCCTGGTCTTTAGTCTTAAAATGTTAGTCCTGAGAGCCATAGGGTTGGAGTTCATTAACTACCCAATGATGCATGTTCTGGGTTCCAAGCCCTGAACGGTTAACCCTGAACCTTACTTGGAGGTTCATGGGACTTATTAAGTACAGTTATAAGTACCATAAATGGGGTTACAAGTACTTATAAGTATAGATACCTTAGTATAGATACCTGATTTATAACCCCAGTTACTAAGTCCCATGAACGTTTAAGTATCCGGTGCAGCCCAGGAAATCGTCCCAGCCTGGATGTGCTACGAGCGCTCCACTGGCTGCAAAGAGCACGAAAATAACATAGGGGCTTCAATAATTAAAATAGGGCTTTGGGTTATATGGAACCCCAAAATGATATAGGTAATTATTCAGGATATAGGTAATTATTCAGGCTCCTTTATTAGGGTTTATTCAGCAAAGCTTCTAGAAGAGCATTGTACCGGCTCCATAAAGGTTCCATAATAAACTACTGGGCGCCACCAAGTGTGGTAGGACTCGTGGTTTGCGGGCGAAACGAGGATTCTTTGTTGGTTTCTATGGCGTCCTTTGTCTCCGAAACCTAAACCAGCAAGAGCCAACTTGAGTGTGTAGGGTTTCCTAGAACTCAAACCCTAAACCCTAAACCCTAAACCCTAAACCCTAAACCCTAAACCCTAAACCCTAAGCCCTAGTTGGGCCCCATTGGCCATCCCATGTAAGGTTGTGGGTCAGGGTTGCCTGAGATCGTAACTCGAGCAGTTCACATGTCTTCGGCCCTACACTAGAAGGTTCATGGGACATAACGTAGGGGCTAAAATAACTGCCAATACTATTTTCGGGGCTCCTTGTTATAATTCTACAGTATCATATACCCCCCAAAGCCCTGTTCCAACTATTAGGGCCCCTATATTAGTCAGGTCGCAGTTGGGGTTGTAAGTAGACGGATTATCGTGGGCTGCCCGATTAAATCTTGACGCAGAAGCTTCTTACTACTCTCGAAGGCTTCCCCAGAGTCCCAAAGCAGCAAAGCCTCCATCCCTAAACCCTAACCCTAAACCCGAAACCCTAAACCCTAAACCCTAAACCCGCAACCCTAAACCCTAAACCCGAAAATCCCAAACAGACAGTCCCCTCCAGGGCCCAGGCAGCTCCCGAGCCTCAAACCTTCAACCCCCATACATACGTACTATATGGGTAGGGTTTAGGGTTTAGGGTTTAGGGTTTAGGGTTTAGGGTTTAGGGTTTAGGGGTCCGTTTTAGGCTCCTTTTTATACGGGTGCCGTACTATATTGGGTACCTACACAGCGAACTTGGTTTAAAGAACTACCCATATACTATACGCTATATTCTCTATGAGTATACTGTATACTGTATACTCAGCGAAGCCCTTACCCTGAACTCAGAAGACTTAAACTAGACCCTCGGCTGAAAACACAAAAGCGCGAAGACACCGAATTTTGAAGCCTGACGGCCCCACAGTCCAAGGCAAAAGCCACAAAGACCTAGAGCCCAACGCAAGTAGGTATGCCTCGAAGTGCTGAGCGGATCAAGGCGCTGTGTAATTAAGTCAGCTTATCAGTAGCATCACCCCAATTAGGGTTTTTATTTCCCTGATCATAAGAACCTGCTTACGACGTCGCCCTTAAACCCTAAACCCTAAACTCTCAATCATAAACCCCTACGCCCTAAATTATCCCTATCGACCTTCAATCCTGAAACCTCCTTGAGCAAGGCTGGGTGGAGTGGCCCCTGAACGCCGATCTCTCCGTCAATTCGGCGAAGCTTCCAGATGCTTTTCCTGATATCTTTTTTTTGTTTGCGATTTTTCTTGATATCATGTTTTGTTTGCGGTAATTCCTAAACCCTAAACCCTATTCCTAAAAGCGGTGTTGGGCCTTTGCAGCGTCTAGGGTTGTCGGGCTTCCTGGGTTCAAGGTCTTTTGGGGCGTGGGGAGGGCTTTCGCACTTCGGTCCCTGAACCCCAAGCCCTAATCCCCAAACCCTAAACCCAAAACCCTAAACCCTAGTCCCCAAACCCTAAACCCCAAACCCTAAACCCTAAACCCTAAACCCCACACCCAAAAGTGCTTGGGCTTCAGATTGATGGAGTTCTGTTTTTTTGGCCGATCTCTGATGTTGGGTCGGAACAGGGCCTTAAGAATGTGTGACTTCTGAGCTACTTAGGGTCCTCATCAACACATTGTCTACAGGAACTGCCTTCGAGGTCATAGGCTTGATGTCTCCTTGATTAAGGAATCCTATATAAACCCTAAACCCCTAAACCCTAAATCCCTAAACCTAAACCCTTAAACTATACTATAATAGGTTTCCTTGCAGGGGGAACTTCAAGGGGACTATCTATGATAGGGTATCTCGTGGAGTCGTGGAGAGACCCACAAGCCCCAATGAGCCAAGTAATATTCCTAGACACAAAGATTCTAAGACAGCTTAGTTCAGTTAACATTCTTAGGAGTGTACACGCATCGTTACGTTCCTAGCATGTAAGCTTTCTTCATGCTGATTCAGGGGGTTGCGAGGCCTCTTTCAGTGGGTCCAAAGACACTCTGCTCTGCCTGAGGATCTGTCCTCCACAAACGTCAACGAAGCCACTGTGCCTAGAAAGCTTCTTCCGGCTTTCAGACCTTGATCTCATAGGGGTTTTGGGTTTATCGGGCCTATGGGTATGGTTTAGGGTTTAGGGTTCGGGTAGGGGTTGTGGTTTAGGGCAGGGTCGGAATGAGTAGTATTACCACGCCCTTACAGTCCGTACGTAAGAAAAGGAAAACTATGTCCCAACATCGATTCTAATCACAGGACCCCTATCTTCCCCCCAGAGCCCTGTTTTCGCAATGGCGAGGATAAACCCTAAACCCTAAACCCTGAACCCTAAAGTCAAGGGCGCAGAGACCCAGATGATGGCTCAGGGTTTCGAGCCTACAATTTTTGGGCTTAATCTAGCGGCCTGAATAGTTTGAAAACGGTGTTGGGGAACCATAACGGGATAAATTTCGTACCAACTACATACTCAGGACCCCAAAAAGGACATAAGCATAAGCATTTTATAGGGATATCCCTACCGTATTGGGCTTCATTATAAGGGGATTTATATGGGATATCCCTATCCTAATTTTTGCTTATGTGCTTTTTGCGGGGCCCTATATAACATACTCCGGCCCTAGTTTGAGACTTGGGGTTTCGGGTCAAGTCAAGAATTCCCTTTCAGATCTGTCCCGCTTCATGAACTTGGAGCTTTAGGTTGTGGGATTTAGGGGCTTGAAGCCTTATTAGCCCTAAACCTTAAGACTTGAACCCTAAACCCTAAACCCTAAACCCTAAACCCTAAACCCTAAACCTTAAGACTTGAACCCTAAGCCCTGAGGCATGAAGGTAGAGAAGTGTGAGGGTTCAGGGTGCAGATCTTCGTTTGGAACAACTGAAGGTGCAAAAGCCAGGTTTCTGAACCTAACCTAGGGTTTAGGGTTTAGGGTTTAGGGTTTAGGGTTTAGGGTTTAGGGTTTAGGGTTTACCCAGACTCCTGCATGCTCCTTTATCAACTAGGAACCCCAAATCCTAAACCCGAACCACCCCCCCCCTAAAAAAAAAAACGCACGAAGCCCTAAAGCTACAAACCCCGGGGCCGGACGTCTCCAAGACTTTCAGGTTGGATACTGTCAACATCCAGGAACAGTTGAATCATAGTTAGAATGTTGTTGATGATATACATCATGCATTACCTTACGGACCTTGAGCTATGGGAATTATGGTATATTCCTNNGATTTATATCATCAACCGTATTGATATAGAAGGCCTGCTGCCGACGGACACATTGTCAGGCACTGGAAGAATATGATGCTCTATGCCGCCCAGTGGCCACCAACAAGCTCAGATTTATCGGCTGAGTTGGTGATGCCTCGAGACGACACAGCCTTCGAATCATAGTCTACGCGCACGTGAACGACCTGATGAAGGAGAAGTACGCCGGCGCGCAATTTGGCCAAGGTCCGCAAGTTCCTGACCAAGGACAAGATATCAGCAAAAGCCGCTGCGGTCGCCATTACACTTGCTGCCAGGCTTGGCTATGGCCGGGAAACTTTGGTGATTGATGGCAGCAACGTGGGCGACGGCTCCAAGCTCTCCGGCGTGCGCAAAGCCACAGCCCTTTCAAGGCTCAGCGTCGCAGAGATCGCTTTCGCAAGAAATTGCGAATTTGACTTGGGTTTAGGGTTTAGGGT